ATAGCTATAAATAGACTGTCTTATTCTCATCCTATCATAAACAATGCGCGATCAATAGTTACATTTCACTAATAGATTTTTACATTTCAATTTATTTTTTCATTTGCTTAATAAATAAACTAAATGTAGCAGTCTGATACGACACTATCACTGAAATTAATTTCAAGCACATGCTCTTTGAACCAAAAAAGGCGGCGTATCAGTTAAATATTAAATAAATTATAAGAATAAATAGCACGATTTGATATTCAACAAGACTTTTACACGGGTGCCTACCAAATATTTTGTTAACGTAACTTATGTGGTTAGGGGGCGTCCATTAATTATGTAAGGCGTTCAGGAGGGGAGGGGGTCGAGCTTAATCTCATCTAATCCTATTTTGGGAAGTAGTATTAGATGAGATTAAGCTGAGATTAGCTGAGCTAAGAGATGAGATGAGCATATATCAGATTTTTTATCCGTAAAATTGCGAGAAAACTGGGTTAAATTACGAAAAACATGTTCCTCCACGTAAATATGGCCAAGTCTTATACAATAACATTTATCATGGTATTGCGAGTGGCGCGAACTTGCACAGTACCCCGTTGTATGATTACGCGCCGCTTCCTGCCTTTACACAGCCTTTACTCTAAAAACATATTTTTTAAAATTTCACGTGAGATTGCGGGATGGGGGAGGCGGTTTAATCAAATCTCAAGACATCTCACTAGAGGGGGAGAGGGGGTTCAGAAAATCGCCGAAAATCCCTCACGTAATTAATGGACGCCCCCTTACGCCAGCATCGTATTGCTGTACATCAGAAACTAATTCAAAAGGACGCTTTAAAAATGGTTGGATGTCGAACAATATGTGCAATAGTTATATTATATGCGTACTTATGCTTGCTTGTTGAACTACACATTACTCGTATATGTTAGACGATGTCATATTTGACTACTTAGCAACATTTCAGACCAGTGTTCTGGGCCCACGAGCGAGCCTGAATACCAGTTTAAATTGGATGTTCGAAAGTGAAATAGACCCGACAGGCCGGGATACTTTTAAATTTTTTAGGACCTTTTATTACATCTCCGACAAATTCGTAATATGCGAGTCGAGATATTAATTACGTCGTAATTTTTACAAAGAATTTCATTAGAGCCATGTTTTTTCACAAATGGGCCAATAGTGGGCGGGCTCGACGGGAGCGATACCAGGGCTTCACAGAATACCGGTGTTAGGCTATTCTTCCTTTGCTTTTCACCGAGTGAGTGACGTCACCAAAGGCCCAACCTTTTCTCTAACTCCGGGGAGGGGGAGGGGGAACTTAAGCGGCAGTAACGCACTTGAATCTTTTGAGTTGCAGGTGTCCACGAGCGGTGGTAGTCACTTCCATTAGGTGGCTTTCCCCCTATTACATAAAGTAGGATAGTAAGGGTTAATTTAACCTTACCGTGCCTCTAAAACTTTACCCGTCACGTCTAATAATTATAAATAAGGAGCGGTAAGTCCAGGGGTCCCTACAAAATCAATATTAAATGTTAACTTTTATTCTCCACATGCATGATAATAAACTAAGGGCACAAATAAAAGTCGACGGTTCCTTTATTCAATCAATTATGATCCGAGGTGAGACGCCTGATTCAATTTGTTCTCGGAATAAAATAATCTCTTATATTCCCTTTCAAAACGTTATGTAAAAGCTTACTTACTACATTTCAACATATTTGATCCTAAATTTGTGAAGGAATTGAATATCAGAACGTTATGATAATGTAACTGTTCGAGGCGACGTGATCCTAACAATTTATGATAACGAGCCCCGTCGTGGTGTTCTCTCTCACAGCTCAGTCGCTAATTATATTTATTCGCCGAGTAATTGATTCGTAATATAAAGTTAAATGTATTATTTAGGGAGCGTGTGCGGTCGGGGGCGGGCGCGGTGCGGCGGTTTTACCGGCTCGACGATGATTAATGACGCCCTGAGTTACATTTACATTACACGTATAGCGAGTGCAGTAAACCCTCGCTTCTCACTGTTCACTACACGCGCCATAGGCCTTAAAATGAACGAAATAGGCTTTACTCAATATATACTCATTTCTTTGTTGTACAAAACTTAATACGTTGTTTAAAGTTAAATCTAAAAGAAGATGGAATCGGTTAATACTGGAGCAGAGAGTAAAGAAAAAAAATCGATATTTAAACTTTGGTAAATCTGAACTACATTAGAGGGGTGAGAACAAGGAATTCATACACTTTACATCACATCACATTAATAACCTTTAACAGTCCGCTGCCGGACATAGGCCCCTCCTTAGAAAAGAAGTTTTGGCCTACTATACCACGCTGGCCAGACGGTTTGGCATAGGGTTTGTGCCAAGTTTTCCTTCTCATTGCAGTGCTGTTGTAATGCGTAGTTTGCTCCCTCAGTCAGCTCTTACGACACTCACGGGATGAATAGGGGTGGTGACACACCGTATTCTTAATCAGTCACCACACGGACGATGAATTGTTACATACATTTCTCTATTTGCACAGAAATTTAAAACTTAGAGAAGCGAAGACAACTTCAATTTGTTTACTTATGTTTCTGTAAATGTATATGTACTCGTATGTATGTAATGTGAAAACGAAAAATAGTGAACATTTCGCTTTGATTAAACTCGTAGAGGACAGTAACCAGCCCCCCCCCCCCACTCCCTCCTGCAGTTCCCTCCAGTGAGGCAATGAGGGCACGTCATCAATCACGCGCGGTTATTAGCGTCGTTCATCCTGTCTGCACCGCTCCGGCCGCCTCCTTGCGGCTCGTGAAATAGGCCGGCTACGTTCCCCGGTATAATGTCAAAGTACTTAGTATTATTAAACTATAATCTCTGTTCGCTATAAGACTCCATTGCCAAGTTTTTTTTTTAAACTCAACCCCTAAATTAAAAAAAGCTGTCGGAATTTCGTAACATTTTATTTTTTAATTCAGTTATTTAAAGTTTTTGAAAACTAGCCCCTTATATGTGAGAAATATATTCCTCCCTTGCTGGTACTACAAATAACGGGTATAAAGGCCAGAAAAAAGTCGATACAGTATAACACTAAAGGGTAGGACCTCATCACATTTATTTGTAATGTTCGCCTCCACAGAGGTGTGATGGAGAAGTATTAAACCCAACTAAGTCACTGTATTTTCGTAGTAAATTATTAAACAGCCAACGTTGACTGTAATGTGATTACATCGTATTGTAACCGAAAATTGAATCGGTAATCTGCTAGTCTTAGTAGGTAATACTTTACTATTTTACTACGAGAATACCTTTTATGACAGTTGTGAGATCGAAAGTTGATCGGAATTGAATTGTGACCGAACTTTTATTACGAGAATTGGCTTCGGTCGGCAGAGAAGAATACTTAATATATCTGAATACTTGCATATCTTTACATTGTATAAAATAAAGTTGCTTTTTGTAATGTACGCTTAGATCTTTTAAACTAAGCAACGGATTTCAATGCGATTTTCACCAATACCGAAAGTGATTCAAGAGAAAGGTTTGTATGTATAACACTTGCAAATTATAATAGATTAAATCCGAGAATTACAATGATTTTTTGTAGAAAAATATGTTTTGTGCGCTTACATCGCAAACCCTGGTTAAACCTGACGAGATGCAAAAAAAATAATGTACTACGGAATTGTATATCTTAAAAAGATCTACAAAAAAGTCCGCGACGGTATATGTCTATTTTCTAAGGATAACCCACAGTAACAATTTTTATCTTTTAAATATTTTTGTAATATTTAAAAACCCTTTATTCGTAAATACCTCTTTATTTTTTGTAAATAAAGGGTTATTTACGAAGCTATTTTAAGCAATACATTATTCTTGCTTATCCAATTAAATATGTACATTAGATACGATGTGCATTTAATGTAGTTTAAAATTGCTCTTTTCAGCATATCATTAAAATGAATATTTTAGAAGATATTAGACTTTTCAAATGCGGGGGCCCAATGTCCGTCGAGCCGTACGTCCGTCCCGGGTGGCAGCGGTGGCACCCCAGGATCGGAGCGTGCCTATAAATATTGAATTTAAACATTTCTTGTAGGTATAGTATAATGTATAATGTATAATGAATTATATATATTAATAAATAGTATAATGAATTACTCCACACTGACACTACATTAGTAGTATCTTCAATGTAACCGTACGAATCCAGTGCGGATCGCTAGTTATAGATAAATTACACCCAGACACAGAACAAGTAATCGTGCTCATCACACAATATTTGTCCTGAGTGGGAATCGAACCCATGACTTATGGCTTAGCGGTCAGGATCACTAACGACTAAACCAACAGGTCGGTGGATATTTTTATATTAATAGAAGTACTCTAAACTATTTATTAATGAAGTTTATAATATAAAGAAAAAAATACACAAATTACAGGTTCCTTATTTCTCGAGTTATAAATAATATATTAATATGGTGTAGGTAGAAAAAACAGAATACTATGGTAATTCGGTTTAGGACGGGACTGGGTACGCGAGAGAGTCACCTTTTTCCATCAGAGACTTGCAGTTCTACTTGAACTTGCTCCCTTTCTTGCTTACACCAATGTAATTTCCTCCATTGTTTCATTTAATCTGATCAAAAAGTCAGTTGGCTTTAAAAGAAACTAGCCAAAATATTTTGCAATGTTCTACATTATGATGTAGTTTGATGATGATTGCGTTTTTAGTGTAAAAAATATCAGTGAATGCAAAAAAATCAATAAACTACACCATTCCTCGCACAGTTTATACATTGTATTCTTATAGATGTACAGATGGAAATCCCACAGTTTGGTTATTAACCATCTCGTAATTAACTCGGTCCGTAAATCTGTCGTAGTGTTCATACTATTAACAAGTCGTCAATGAGCGGAGCCAAAAATCTGTCCGCATATAAAAGACATCAACGCACCGCACGCCACACTTGTACCTACTGCTCCTCGTATTTACCAGTACAACTGAACTCACAGGTCTTATCACGGGGCTTGTGAACATGTTAGTGAAGGTACATATGCCTGGATGGAAAGCAATACAGATTCGCTCTCAGATAGTAAGGGCTCATTAATCTTGCACATCAAGTTATCTAATGTACTGTAGGTACATTACTTTCCATAGCAGTATTTATGTTTATAACCACCATGAATAGAAAACTATTCTCTTTTGGATATTATAAAAAAGTTTTTACACATCTGCTCCTTTGACAAAAGCATTCTACAAACAAGAGTAAGCGAGGAGTAAGATATCATCCTGTTTTTGTGCCATCCAAGGAGCATGATGCCATTTACGAACCCTCTCCAATTGTTGTAGCAAAACCGAATATAGAGTCTAGACATTGTTATTATGATCTTAAAAATCGAAACACATTCACCGTTTAAATTTGTCAAGTTGTGCGACAGTTTGCGGCATATACCGGCCCGATGGCGTAGTGGCTTGTGTAACGGACTGCTACGCCAAAGGTTGCGGATTCGATTCTCGCTAAGTGTATGAACATTTAATGTTTGATTTGGTCTGGATGTTTCCATGTTTTGGTATGGATGTTACAATATATACATATACATATATGATAAAATTAAAAAACAATGTTAACTGACTCAAAAATACATTACACATAAAATGAATACCTCTAAAGTCAAACAAAATGGATCACAGAACATACTGAAATTGTATTCCATACTAGGCTATTGCCTGTATTTTGGAAGAATGTAATGTAATATTTGTATTTATATCAGTTGTCCAGTACAAATAGTCCAAACTCTGCTTAGTTTGTGACTTAATAATAAAATATCTATACTCACAAAGAGAGCAGGTTTTCGTGCAGCGGCGGCAGGCGGCGAAGTCCTAGGCCGCGGCAGGAGACGCGCGCGCCGGCATCGCTGCACGCGCAGTCAGACGTGCGTGCCGGGCAAGCCGCGCGCGCCAGCGCCGCTGCCAGCACCAGCGCGCCTACCACCAGCGCCACGGCGCGACCCATCACCCCGCATTCCCACTCAACCACCACATCTTATCACCCACACTGCAGCACTCACTGTGGTTCCTTATCACAGCACTTTTTTTTCTCAATTAAAAAAACACAAATTATATACGTACGATCGCGTTCAAATACGCGTCGCGTGGTATTGTCGCGCTGCAAGACGTGAGGCGTGAGTCGTCGGTGCGAGGGCGCGCTACGTACTGACGGACCGCGGCGAGGCGGCCGGAGGACAGACGAGCGCGCGAAGTGAGTGGCGGGCCGGCGCGCGCCGTGGCCGCCGCCGCCGAGTCTGCCGCCACAGACCGACAGCTCTGTGACGACGCTGCACAAAGTACAACATCAAACATGACCCACCGATGTCGTTGCAATTGTACTGGAAGTTGCAGCGTTACTTCACACTAAGTTTACAAACTTAACGCTGCGCTGAAACTTCAATATTCAATATTTAAGTACACTCTGGTACCAAAATTAAACCTACAGAATTGTGCCTAAGGAGGCATCATATAATTTTACTAAGTAGTATCAATTAGCGTGACTGACAATGCGTATACAATGTTTAAATCCACTCTGAAAAATAGATATCAGGTGGTTAGAATAGAAGAATGCACTCGTAAACAAACACTAATCAACTGCACTGTTCCACAAGGATCTATCGATGACCATCTCCTTTTCCTTCCCCACACATTGAACACTTACGTTCTAATCTAACCTGTGTAACAGGTTGTCTCCGAAATATTGCAAGATGTCTTCCCATTACCATTAGCTACACAATCTACAACTCAATGGTCAAAGTTCATATTGAGGTTTCACCAACCGTTAAAGTTTATAAAGAGACAAAAGTACAATTTTATCATTACAACACGTCTATTTTACTAAGGAAAATTTTAAATAACGAAATTTTAACACAATTTAAGTTCACGAAAACTGTACACACGCATAGTTCCTTCCTAAAAGGCCGGCAACGCGTTTTCTTCATGGGCGGCGATGTTACTTTCCATCAGGGCCTCAATTCTGCTATTTACGCCAAGCCACTATCATAGCACTGACACGCCATTGAGATGCCATCGAGTGGCCATTTTCATCGGTATAAATACGGTAGTTGAAAATAAATTACGTTTTTTGAGGAAATTATTTATTTATTTATATTATAGCAAATTATTAAAAGAAATAAATAAATTAAATTAAATTATTAAAAAAATAAAAGTATGGGCAGTGCAGTAAAGTGTGGGCAGACGCAAAGTCGCTGGTATTACTTTAAAAAACTATTGAAACAACACATTTTCAAAGGCACCACCTAAAATTCGCTCTAAAACCTATAGCTACTAATGTAAAATTCATACATTTCTATTTTAATTTTTTATTTTGTATTTTTATCAGTATATAAATTTTTACATTGTTGTAAAGCAACATTTGTTCAGGAAAAAAAAGCTTTTGTTTCATAAAGTTAATTACAGTATATAAACCCACCGTTAAATAATTTTCTCAAATGCTGGTTTGTGACCAGCATTAGAATTGCTTCTACCCTTCATAATTAGAATGGACAACTTAATTTTAAGAAGTACCTGCATTGCATACCTGAGGACCAGCTCCTCCGTCTAGTACGGGTAACACTCACGCACTGGTGTCCCAAGGGTTGCAGGTATAAAAAAAAAACGAATTTGTATATTCAGAAATATATTTCTGTATGTGTAGTTATGATGTGATGTGTCGTATGTATGTAGTGAACCATGTATATTTTCATTGATTACATGTCATATTCCTAACCTCTGTGTCCGTAACCTCTGTGCACCTACCTTATATGATTTCTACACCACCCAAAGGTTGACTGGAAGAGAATGCCTTGGGCAAGTCAATGTACAAAAGTGCAGTAGTAGTAAGTTTTTTCCTTGATCTTTTTGTTATTATATTTATATCATTTCATTTTATGTAATAATTTATTAACTACACGATGTGATTGATTTATTTTTTATTAGAAGGAAGAATTCCTTTCCTTCCTTCTAATAAGGAAACTTCTTATTTTTCTTGTAAGTATTAAAAATTCAACGTGGACTGAAATATGACTGTAATAAATATATTGTGACCGAAAGTTAAATCGGTACTCTGATAGTCTTAATAACACTTTACTACGAGAATACCCTTTATTGCATTTGTGAGATCCAGAGTAGATCTGGACGGCATATTGAACGAATTTTATTACGAGAATTGCCTTTCAGGTTAAAATTATTGTAGACATAGTGATAGTGTAAGCAACTGCGGAGGAACGGGTGTCATATCCCTCCAAAACAAAGGGAGGATCCTCCGACCAGGCCAGGTGATCATGCCTGGCAGGCACTAAAACTAAAACTGCAAAGCGTTGTGAAAACTTCAAAAGTAAACTTAAAGCTACTTTCAATATTTCAATACCCTGCGTAGACAATAACCCTAACACTTATTACAATAGCTTTTTTGAAACTTTTTCTTAAAAAAAAAGGTGTTAAAACACCATTTTTACACCAATAACCCTAGTAGTTAAAGGTTACGACACATTTAGTGAATGGGCTATCATTGGCTTACTCAAAAGTAGGAAAAGATTATACGAGCTATATGATGAGAGAAATTATAATAAAAGTGAATAGTTTAATAATTATGTTCAAGAATTCTCGAAGCTGTTTAAGAAACTTTGTAAAGTGGCTAAGTCCCGTTTTATAAGTTCAAAGAATAAAAGTGGCAATGATAAGATTAAAACCACTTTGAAAATTGTTAGCAATAAAACTGTAAAAAAACAATTCTGCGATAATGAATTTAATTTGAATGTAAACAATAAATTCATCACATCGAATGCTGAGGTTGCTGCCGCATTTGAAAACTTTTTTACTAATATTCCTGTATAGTTGATACTATAGATAGTTCAACTCAGTTGTGCGCGCGGCCCTATGTGTGCAGTCGTCGTCCGACTGCCGCGTCACTGCCACACGAATGAAAGTTGTATATTTATTATACTAAGGCCCGTATTTTAAAAGACGTCTCAAGTAGCGGTTGAACTCTGATTGCCTGATACTAGTTTTAAGTGCAGATCAAAACTTAAGTATCGATCTTGTTATAGAACGCGTTTTAAGTTTTACTCAGTTGAAACTTGTTTCAATATTGGTTCGAACTTATAGTCTGTTCTTAATCGACGACCGGATGGCATAATGGTTTGTGTAACGGACCGCTATTCCAAAGGTCGCGGGTTCGATCCCGCTCAAGTCAACATTTGTGTGCATGAACATTTAATGTTTGATTTAGTCTGGGTGTTTCTATGCATAATAAGTATTACTATGTACTTACAAAAAAAGTATATATGTATTATTATCAGTTGCCTAGTAGCCATAGTACAAGTCCTGCTTAGTTTGGGACTATGGGACTTTACTTTGGGACTGTGTTGATCTATGACTTTAGAGTCTACACAAGAGACGATTACAATATTTTTTTTATGAATTAAAGATATTTGTTTGTTGATGTTAGTTTGAGTTTGTATGTGGGAGTCACCACATCACTTCCTTCCAAGACCGGAGGTCTATATCTTGATGTGTCAGTTGTCTATGCTATGTTGTGGGGCGTGCCAGTAGCAGTAGTGAGTAGTTCCAGTGAGTCAGAACTGAATACCGCTAGTTCCAGTGAGCTTGAATTGAGTCCCGATATCCCCAGTGAGTCGAGGCTGAAGTCCGCTGATCGCGCGTTTAACACTTTGCTCTGGAGTTGCATCAGGAAGGCGCTAGTGTATCACCAAGTGCCTCTCTACCTCCGCCGCATAGTCAGGGCATATTTATCGGAGAGAGCCGTCGTCTACCCAAGTAGGACCGGTCTCGGTCGGCGTGAAATGTCGTGGGGTGTTCCACAGGGGTCGGTGTTAGGGCCGCTCCTGTGGAACATCGGGTGTTTCGTGGTGCCTTCCTGGATGTTGTCGCAGTCACGTGTTTTGTGGATGACACACTAGTGCGGGCGTGTGGCAAGACGCACCGTGAGGCAACCCTGAGGGCCACGGCCGGGGTTGCCCAAGTCGTAGAGCGGATCCGGCGGCTGGGTCTCGAAGTGGCTCTGCACAAATCTGAGGGCTTGTTCTTTTATGGGCCTCGGAGGAAGCTTCCTGAGGGATCCAGCCTTATAGTAGGAGTCACTCGCATCGGCGTCGAGCCCTCGATGAGGTATCTGGAGCTCGTACTCGACTGTCGATGGGACTTCGGACATCCGAGGTCTGGTCCCAAAGTTGGTTGGAGCATCGCATGCACTGGTGCGACTGTTGCCTAACATGTGGGGACCCGATGACTCCTGCAGGAGACTCTACTCGGGGGTTGTGCGGTCCATGGACCTTTATGGGGCCCCAGTATGGGCGGGAGCCATGAAGGCCAGCAACGTCGCACTACTGCGACGACCACAGCGGGTGCTGGCCATCAGGGTCATAAGGAGGCACCGCACGATCTCATTTGAGGCGGCGAGTCTCCTGGCCGGAACTCCACCGTGGGACCTGGAGGCGAGAGCCCTCGCGGCTTTGTATCAGTGGCGCAAGGAGGCGCGGGAGTTGGGTCTGAGTCCTGAGACTCGGGAAATCGAGGATCAGAAATCCCAGCTCCGACAGGTCCTCGTAGAGGAGTGGAAGGAACGACTTGGGCAACCGAGCGCCGGGCACGCCGTTATTGCGGTGGTAAGTTGTTTCGGAGATGACCTGTGTCTGATCCACAAGGAGCCAACGCCTGATTCTGTGATGGCCGGACCGTGGACATTGCCCTCCACACGTTGGCAGAATGCCCGGCGTGGATGGAGCAGAGGCGTGACCTCGTGGTGGCCATCGGGGTGGGAGTCCTCTCGCTCGGTAGTATCACACAGTACAGGTTAGGCCATCTGTCACCCTAGCAGAAGCAGGCCGGAGTGGCGGCGAGACGCGCTGCTCGGTGGATGGGCCGAGGTACGTCGGGGTACCAGGAATTTCCTGTCTAGGGTACACCTGGTTCGGAGACAGCGTGCGGTTTTTCCGACATAATCACCCCGGTGGGTGATATCCGAGGGGATTTCCGCACAGGAAAAAAAAAAGAAAAAAAAAGGGTACAACTTAGTCAATATTGTGATAAATCTTTGCTATAAGCGCAAAGTTTTGATGCCTGTTTTTGTGTAAATAAAGTTCATGGAAAATGTCGTGTCAAGCAGTAGCTTAGCTAGATCCTTGTTAACGAAACGAATATATTAATATGGGCCCGTGACCCCAGCGTCTCGACCCAAAGGATCAAAAACCAAATTACTGCTTAAATTATGTTTTATGAGAGTTTACGCCGTTTAAGAATTTTTACATGCTGCAGCAGCGCCATCACAACCTGTTGCGTTTGAAAGATATGAT